TATAGATAAAGGATTGCAAATTCGTAATAAAATTTTCAAAAAAACTATCATAATGTCATAAAATCGCGAGTCAATCTTCTTTAGCTGAAATCCTAGATATTTTACGATTGTAAGATTTTTGAAATCCGCCATCGCTGTTTCTTCCTTTCTAGCTACTATCCGCCATACTGTTAGGAGCCCATTTATCAGCACCGTTGGTCTAACTATCTTTCGCGAAGGTGTTAAATGTCTCTGTACACTCGTAAATCTTGGTCCCGCCGGTTCTTCTTCTTCGTCACCATACGCATTCTCTTTTCCGGTCACCACAATACTCTTTTTCATTTTCTAAGAAATGCAATCATTTTTTATTCGTGCAATTCATGCCTATCAAAATTTTACAATTATATATAAATATCTATTTTATATTGATATAATTTAGAATAAAGTGTCTCTTGTATTTCCTAATTCTTTACTGATTTTATCATATATTTAATAATCATGTTATCTTCTAATAAAATGTTAGATAAACAAGTATTTTACACCGTACAGCTAAAAAAATCATGTGCTTTTTGAATATTATTTGCAAAACATACATCAAGTTTTATACTGTATAGAAGGAAGTATTGAAATGTTTTAAGTCTTTAAAATCTACTGCGAAGATTACGAATTTATACAATAATTAACATATTGTTACAAATAAATGATGTCGGTATATTTTAAATAAATATGAAAAATATGTTACAAAAAAGAAAGTTGATTTCTATTTTTTATATATTAAACTAGAATTGTGTAATTTACTTCAATAAATAATTAATTTAATTTAATTAATCATGATTGTATCAAGACGTTTTATATTTGTAAAATGTGGTACGGAAAAAATTCGAATTTTTGTACACTTCGAATATGATAAGCTTAATTTATCCAAGATAAATTCACAATTATCATGTCGATAATATTTTAGATGCTAAAACTATGCCGTTCTGCGTAGTCGTAGGCATGCTAGAAGGGTTCAGTAAAAATGCAAAGGTCTTGTACAAATATGCGACATCTATTTGTTGACTCGTCATGTAAGGGCCATCCAGCTAACTGGTGATTAAACACGAGGAAAGAGCAAAAAAATTTCTATTTCTATGTGGAAACATCGCGATCTTGAGAATTCAAGCGAGCGAACGCTATTTTCGGAATTCTGCGAACAAACAATACTACGAGAGAAAAGAGAGACAGTCGTTAGTATTAATAATTTTTTAAAATTTAATATTGTATATCATATTATTATATTTTCGACAGTAAACTCTTTTATCTATAATGTAATGTCACTGAATTATACATATGTATACATAAAAATGATAAAAGTATCACTGATGGAAAGTGAAATTAGTATTCAATTTTATATATTAGAAATTATTTTGTGTATATAAGAAATAATAAAAATAATAAAAATAATTATTAATATTATTCCAACTTTTTTGAAAAAAAATTTACTATTTTTCTTTTTCTTTTTAGCTTTTTTCTTTCTGTTTTTTGTTTTTCTCTTTCTTTTTATATAATCATTTTACATATAGAAATAATATTTCTTTCTATAATATTCCTATAGTATCCTTATCATTTAAAGAGCAGAAGAAAATCTTAGATTTATTTAATTATTTAATTTGATACATTATAGTACCGAAGTTAGCTGTTATTGTAATTCTCGTCGCGTTTTTCGGTATTTGTATTCTAGCGCAAACTACAGCGGATATTTGCCGACGTGATTAACAATCGCCGTATTGTTTTAGTGCGACTAATTACGTTATAATGTCTTATATCTGCGTGTCAAAAGAAATGTGTATTACTTCTTTGCACTATGATGATAATCGCATCCAAACGTTCTCCGTCATAAACTGTTTGCGCAACTGGTTGCCACTTCGTCTCGATGATATTGACAGCAGAATGTCACACATTCCGCAAACAGTCCCACACGTTTTAGACACATTCAATAATTCTACATAGGACTCGGTGGATGACGCCTCGAAATCGTAAGAAGGTGATAATTGAGTCCGGACTGGCGAAGTTAGCCGAGCAATTAAGAAGCGCGATTAGAATATTAAATTTTGATTATCGGGACGATAAATCTTGAAAATGCAATAATGTGTCAGAGATTTTAAAGGACTCTCACATAAATAGCAATGATTATGTAGTTGAAATATTATTGATTATATGATTAATTAACAGTGACAAAAAAATTGATGATTTTTGCAGCACCCAAACCGAGCGGTAGAAGGTCGAGGAAACCGGGTATCGATCGGAAACCGCGTCAAGCTTACAGTGCGAAACAATTGGAAAGACTCGAGGCGGAGTTTAAGGTACGGTTTTAGCTTCCTGCGTCTTCTCTCTTCATTATATGTGACAAAATCTTGTAATCTTTCTCGTACATTTTTTTCGCATGACGCCAAATATTTTCATCTTCGCAGATCGATAAATATCTCAGCGTGAGCAAGCGCATGGAGTTGTCCAAGTGTCTGAATCTCACCGAGGTGCAGATCAAGACATGGTTCCAGAATCGCCGCACGAAATGGAAGAAACAGCTGACATCGCGGCTCAAGATCGCACAACGGCAGGGACTTTTCCCACCGACATATTTTCCGACAACCCAGTATCCTCTATTGCCGTATTACGCGGCGCCTTTGATGTTCGGAGGTCCATTGTCGGATGACGCGAACTCTAGCTTGCCGACTCGTTCCACTGTATCTTCCTCAGATACGGTCTGACGCAGCACAGACTCGAACTACTTGGTCGATTGTCGGCCGGATGACCGCGAAGTGCAATAAGACCTTCCGTTGGCCACTGCAAGTTCTTGAGTGTTTCCTTTTTTTACATTATTGTAGGAAGATTATAAGAAGATTCTTATCTAACATAAATTTGGATACCAGTCGTACAATTATATACTTGCAACATAAACGTGCACGATTTTTGTGCAACGTGAAGCGACTTTTTTTAATTATTTTATGATACGTGAGATCAATTTTCTGTGAGATCAATTCTGTTTGTACATAAAACACGATGATTGATACTTGTAGATTTATTCTAAACTTTTTGCGTTTTTAATGACAGAAATTAAATCATATTTAATATTAAATAACAGTGCGATATAAAGCAAATTTTCTTTTTGATTTCTAGAATTCTATCCAGATTGATATTTGCTGTATATAAAATGTGATTTGATAGATTTATGTAACATTTATGATGAGTATATGAAAAATAGACAAATCCTGAATTTATTCGTTTGTTCTGAATAAAAGACTCGATTTCAAGAATATCAAGATATACAAAGACATGTCAAATTGCAATACTCTTTTTAGATAGAGATTGGCGTATATAAAGAATACGATGATTATAGATTTATATAATATTTGCGAAAATTGCGTAAAAAATGCGAATTCTGAATTTATTCGTAATTTTTCATGTTTCCAGCAGTGGCAAGATAAGATTGTATTCAAGTGACATTCACGTGCAAGTGACGCGAAAGTGACATAAATGGCTGTACGGAAATGTTATGTAAGGAACACGTGAAAATAATATGAAAACGATATGAAAATGTGACGTTGATATAGACGAAGTACCTGATGTCTCGCATCTACTTTTTTTCATTCTGTTGAAGTTTCGAGCATTCTTGGAGTGAAATTTAAAAATTTATTTGTATATATATATTAAACGTTTTTTGCGTGCAAATATTTTTGCGTAAAACGTGCAAAAATATATGTTAAAAAAAATTTTATCTTGTATTTCTCACACGAACAAAAAAGCTAGAATTAAATATATATATATATTCTCCATTATTTCTTTTGATTTTATAAAATATAATCTATAAATATAATCGTATTTTTATTTTTATGTAAAAAAGATATTGATTATCATTTTCATAATTATAACTTTATATTTGCGCAATATAAAAGAAAATTTATAAGAAAATCTAAAACAAAACTATATCTTCAATTTTCACATTTTCTGCATTTTTAATTTGAATGTAATAATATTTATTAAATGAATAATTAATTAAATAACACTTGGCAATTTTTTTTATTATGGAAGATTTTAAAAAATTACTATAATATTCTCTTGCTCGAAATTTCAATAATGTCTCTTTCTTTTAATAATCATAAGGAGAACCTTTGCTTTCTCGCAAATCTTATGAAACGAGGTACGAAGGAGCAATATAATTGAAAGACTTAAAGGCTTCTAAGGAAAAACGCTGCACTTTACTATCTTTAATAAAGAGCGAGATAAAAAGGAGACTTCTTATCGTCTATCAAACTTCACGAGAATCATGACGAAGAAAGGTCGTTGAAGGCGGGAGAATAAAGAATGAGAAAAGCAGAAAGAATGAGATTTTATGTCCAATGAAAGAATTATGTGTACGTGCGTTAGAACTCCCTGCTTCAACTAACTTTAACTTGTGCATAATTTAACAAGTCGTATCTTTTGTTTATGGTGTACGCGCGTGTAAATGAAATCAAGCTTACACAGCAAGATATAATTTATTGGTAGAGATATAAGCCAAGCTGTAGCATTACATGTGTTATAAGTTATTCGCGTATGCAACGTGCAATTTAAATATACTCAAGTTAGGGTCGCGCATCTCTACATAAAGTTTATGAGTGAATCGCAGCAAAATGTCGTTTAAAAATGAAGAAGTAAATCGTGAATTATGGAACACACACAAAAATATAAAATAGTATCGAAGAGTGTGTTTAATACATGAGTGGTTCTCTCTTCTCTTTTTTCCATTCATAAATTATACTTACTGCGTAAGCTTTTATTTCTTTATCAAAAAAAGTAAATAAATAAATACTTTATTTTTAAATTTTCTACGAGTAGAAAGAAGGGATCTGATAAAAATGAAATTTTCAATAATGCAGCGTAATTACAGATTTTGATAAAATCACGAATATTGAATATCATGTAAAATAATAGGATTACGCACAAGAGTCGAGAAATAATGATACGTATAATTATTTCTTCCTCACCGAATAATAAGCATCGTAATTAATAAATTTCCGATATATCCCATGCATCAAGCATTCTTCTCCCTGCAACACTTCTCGTTTCTCGGCTCGCGTTTCTCCGCGTTATCATCGCGTCCAGCTACCACGGCTTTATCAATCTCGCAGGTACGTCGTCCCGCCGGGCACTTCGTCCGCGTCAACCCCAGGAACACGTTGAACTTCTTGCACTTCTTCAACCTCGGCTCCATTTCTCTGCGCTCCACCATGCTTGTACCGGGACAGAGCGTGCTGGTCTCGCGTGTCCTCACTTTGACGGACGACTGGATGGTGCGCACCAGGAGTATCGGGCTGCAGCTCTTGTCGAGCTTCGGGGGTGTCTCCGCGTGAAATTTATGAGCCGAAACTTGGACACTCTTGTCGGACTGCTCCGGTTTGGCGCTAGCGGTTGCGATCGCCAGCGTGTTCTGAGCGCACAAGTAACAGCAGCTCTTCGTGAAGTCGGTGAGCGGTAAAGGTGGTTTCTCCAGGACGTGGTCCTGGACGTGATCCTCGGGGACTTCCAGGTCCTCGTCGCGCGCTACCAAGTGCGTATCCACGATAAAATGCGGCACTCGTTCTTCCCACTTACGTCTTTCTCTCCTCTCCCTTCTTTCCTTCTCCTTCCTCTCTCTTCTCCTTCTCTCCTCCCTGATTCCCTCGAAAACATCCTTATCGGTAACTTCGACCGCTTCATCCTGTTTACGACCTCTCTTGAATTTCCTCGGGGCACTTCGACGGCTTATCGGTTCTCGGTGCAGAGTAGCTGATACACCAGTGACCGCTACGTCGTCTGGTTTCGCGCACTCTCTGCTTCGCTCTCTCATGCGCTCAAGAAACCATCTCGACGGCTCTCCCAGAACGCGTTCGGAATATTCTTTCTTTCTACGACACCATCTCGCACACCATAGATGTAGCTTGGGAAAGCAGGATTTCGATCTATACCTATATAAGAAATCGATATCGCGTGTGTCGACACCTGTATGTTTTTGCTCCCTTTGCTCAGAATCCTTCGAGACGTCCGATTGATTTGCCACTATGCCATTGACACGCCGTTCACGATAAACGGGATTATGCCGATCTAACGATATCGCTGCGATACAATAAATTGTGATACAATGATTAGTCCAGGAGGGCTATTCTGTAACTTTTAACTTTGCGTTACGATATGGCTGTCTTTTTCTTTCTTAAGTTCTAAATAAAAAAAAGACAAGCATATCGTAACGAATGCATTAAAAGTTAGAGAATCGCCCTACTGATCTGATAACGATAAAAAATTGCGAAAATGATAATGATCATTAATGGAAATTAGTTTAATAGAAACGAGGAGAAACGATAGTTAATATCACGAGAATTTTTTGTAATTTAGTTATTTAAATTTATCTCTACTCACTGTATCTATTATTTTCGTTTATTTTGATGTATTAATATTATATCGTTTTTAATATATTACATTCGGATCTATTTTAATAAAACGATAAGAAAAACGACATCCGCAATACAGAAAATTGAAAACGGAAACGATGTAAAAGCGGAAATGGAGTTATTTTTCAGTTTGATTCACAAAGAGTTGGATGTACATTGCTTACTGTTAGATTTATATGTCGAAGAATGGGCAGCATTTTGCAATAAATGCGCTTCGTATTCCGTTTGTGCATTTTTCGTGTCAGATATTTGTTCCTTAGGATGTCGTGATGGATGATCGATGTACCGAACGACGTTTACGGATCGATCTGCTGTTACGGATTCATCCGAATTCACAATCGGACGCATTTTTATCTAATCCGATTTTCTGAGGTTCCATTCGTTAAGAATTAATTATTGGAGGAATTATTTCTTCAATTAAATACGCAGTTTCGATAGTAGAGATTATTGTGTTTCATGTTTGCATCGAATAATAGCTTTCTAAGAAAGAAAGAATAATGTAGATAAAAATATGTAGTTTTATTACTTCAGTTAATTAATTTAATTTTTAAGCAGACAGAATTAAGAAAGGTTACTTTTTATAAATTGACGTGTTGCACTTGGATAAGCAAATGAGATAATATTAATAGATAATTTTTGATATGACTTCATTTCACATATTGAATTTTTATTCATCTTTGATAAAAAAATAAAATTGATATGATTTCTTTATTTTATCATATTGAAATATCGTATCCATTAGCAAATTTTTACTTTTTAACCAAAACTGTCAAAACGTCTTCATTCATTATTAAAAACTACCGAGAGATCAAATATACTTTCAATACGAAAAAAATATAAATTTTAATTTATCAATAATTATCATATATTTCATTGTAAAATTTTATATTAAATATTTCGAATTGTGTACAATATTTTTATTTTCTAGTTAAAAATATTCCTTTAAAGATTTGATTCTTTAATTATATAATAAGCAATTTTATATATGTATAGCATACCACTTAGAGATTTTATATACATGTACAAATAAAATATAATTTATTGTTTATTAATTAAGAATTCATATTTACTTTATAAAATTGTTTATAAAATTTTATATTAAAATATATCAATCTAATCTTTTTATTAATTATTTATATTTCGTGTTTCTATGATAAATTAAGAAAATAAGAGAGATAAGTCGTTACAATACTGTTATGGCAATTTAATTTGATTAATTTTTTATTTATTGAAATTACATAATTTTACGAAACGTAAAGAAATAGAAATAATTAAATAACTTATAGAAATATTAATTCTTTTTTTTATTATTACATTCATTGCAAACTGAAATTATCATGAAAGAAGAAGTGAGGAAACTCTGAAATATTTTTATAAAGCACTTTTGATTTTCAAAACATTTGTCATATAAAAAGTATGCATTTCAGTATAATAAAACGGCGTTTTTTTAAATTCAGAAATTTTATTTCCACGAGATATTTCAAAAATTCAAATATAACATGCAATTCGCGACAGACATCTCTTTGCGTATGCAAGATTATATTTTCTCTTATCATATTTCTTGAATCATATAGCACTATTTATCTTTCTTTGATACACACATCAGTTTTTTTAATGGAATTTATATAGTTTTAAATTAAGAAAATGTATCGAATATAAGTATGCGTAATACGAATTAATATTTTGCATTTTAAAACAAAAAGCAAGAGACTAAAGCAAGAGAGATGCCATAAAAACGAAATAAAATTGCTCTTAATAAAAGCGGGAAGTGTCTTGTAATCGTATTCTACTTACATGTACTTAATCGCTTGTATTTCAGAGGCCATTATGAAACTCGATGTATTGTGAAATGAGAAATCTTCGACACTACTTTTCGAAATATATTATAATAATAGAAACCGACACGTAACGTATATACTCTTGTATACAAATATACAAACACAAACGCGGCGAGTAAATCGAACGCTGTTGCGCATAACGCAGCCACGGTGCCGCGTCAATGTCGCGTGACGTCACCGTCACAGAGAACGATGGAGGTCGCGGCGAGCGGTACGTGTCGCCACCTGACGGCGTCGTTTCTCGGGCGCCCGGAGACAGTGAGGCAGTTCGCATCGCGCACGTACGTCGCAAGGTACGTAGACGGTTGGGTAGGGAAGTACAGGTCCCCGGCGGTGGTAGGACTGGTGTATCGGTAGCGACGGTGGGGTGATACGTGCGTGCGCTTACAGTGTTCGCTCAGTGTGTGTGTGCGCGTGTTTTGTTGCCGCTACGATGCGTTTGATAAATATCGAGTGACCGTTATCGTCGTCTTCGCCGTCGTTGTCGTCGCGTTGTGCGCGAAGGAGCGAACAACAGCCGGGGGGAGCCGTCAGCTGTTTGCGAGTGAGAAGGGACTGTCATCGACGCGGAACGGGGCGCCGTGAAGCAGCGGGGAAAGCGAGCAGCCGAGGAACGAAAGGAGCGAACGATCTCCAGCCAGCTGAAGTTAGTCGCGAGACGACGAGGGGCGGAACAAGTTGGTAGTGCGCGTGTGTGTCGGTCGGCGATGATCGTGCAGCGTCCGCGTGCTAGCGTGATCTCGACGGGGAAAATGATGGCGTAAACCTTGCAGTGTTCCGGAAACGACGGAGAGAGAAAGAGAGAGAGAGAGAGAGAAAGAGAAGGAGAGAAGAGGAGAAAGAAAGAGAGAGAAAGAGACGCGCGCTGCGTTCATACTCGTTCGTGGCGGCCTTCGTGTCGAACGCAGCAGCCGATCGTCCGCGTCCTCCAGCCGTTGTTCACGTCGGTTGTACATCGTCATCGGCCGCGAGCGAGCGGAGCGTGACGCGTCATCGTCCCTCCCGTGATCGAGACATTGTGCGCAGTGGTGTGTGCGGTGCTTGCTGGAAGGCAAGGGAAAAAACAAGTGAAAAGGGAAGGTTGGGGCAGGATAATAGCGCGCGTTCTCCTCGTCCGCTCGTCGTCGTCGTCGTCGTCGCCCTGTTGCTGGCGACCACGTCGCGTCACGCCGTTTGTTTTGTATTGGCGAGGTCGCGGATACTCGCGAAGGTGGTGCCGATCGACGCCAGGTAGCCAGCGCGGCGTGTCCTGACTGCAGCGAGGGATATAGTGTTACGATGATCAGTGACACGTGCGGATACGTTCTCTTCCTGCTGCTGCTGTTGCTGGTTCCCTACATCGAGAGCGGTAAGTCTCAACGCTTCATTTCCGACAATGCGTGCGTCTCTTGCGTTTCGCGACAGGATGCGAATACGTATGTGTGCGTGTGCGTATGCATATACGGTGCGTGGTTGCTACGCGCGTGTGAGTGCTTCGACGGGTGCGTACGGCTCTTTGCGCGTGTGTGCGTCTCTCTCGTGAATCATCCTTTCACGAAGAGCCCGCTTGTCGCGTGTTTCTACGCGGCTCTTGGAAACGGTCGAGCGAAATAGTGGCCGCGAATATACGCACCGAGAGAAATCGTATTATACAATACATATGTTTCTGACATCGCGAAATCTCTCTCTCTCGCACGGTTGAAGATTTAGTTTCTCCGAATGACGCGCTACACGAGAAAAATATTAAAATCGTCACTTTTTCGACGAATGACGTTCTTTCGGATTTTAATTTGATCCACGAAACGCACGCAAGTGTCATTATTTTGCCGCGCTTTTTTTTCACTCAGTCTCTTTCCTTGAAAATTGCTTTTGTAAGAAGCAATTTTTCGTCGTGTACACATTTTTCCATAGAATTCAAAATAAATTTTTAATAAATTTTAGAGAAAATTATATACAGTGTATTATATATTGTGTATTTTGATTAACTGTAAGAAATAATCAAATTTTTAATATTTCGGAAACGTTTATCTTTTCCTACATAATAAAAATGATTGTCTACGAATATACGTAGTATTCTTTTTATTATACGTCATACATCTCCTCTTATTAAATATAAATAAAAAGAGTGAAAAAGAAACGATCAAGTAATGTACTATAAAATTTCAATTTTACTTTGACTCGCAACATATTTGATTTATGTACAATATGTATTAATATATTTGATTGATATGTATAATGTACGTACAACATAGGGATTATATAACAATAATTATTTCAAAATTTGAGATTTCATAATCAAAATCGATTTAATAAATTACACAGAAAATGCAGAGATACATAAAATTGTAAACAAAATATATACAAAGTACGTGTAAAATAACACACGAACGGTTTCTGCAGCATTTCCATTCAGAACTAAACTCGCGTCTGCGTCATTATACTAAATTGTTATGATAACATTATGTAAATTAATCAATTCCTGTTTTTGAAGTCAATATATGCACAATAATCTTATCTCGTTTAAACTCTTCGACATAAAAATGATAAATCTGTCTCACGGTATAATAATAACGATATCGCGTGTTATTTCTTAAAGAGACAAGAATATGTTTTCTCAAATGTCAAATATTATCATATCGATTGTTTACTTTTCTTTTCGCGTTTTTTTTCATCGCAATATATTCCTGCTATAAAAATGCTTTGACCTTTTCTTTGTATCGTATTGCATGCTCTATTAGGATGAAATACGATGCATTGCGTCATCATTTCCCGGAATTCCGAACATTTGCATAGAGGAAATACCGTCGAATGTGATTCTGAAACGAGTTACAGACGAAAAATATGACTCATTTTGATATCTAGATAATCCTCTCCATGAGCATTAATAAATGTTATAGTCTGATAGATTTATATAGATTGCTATGCGTCATTCTAGAGATGGTTAGGCTCTAATGATTAAAACGCGTCGTAATTTTCATATCAACTCCCGCATAGTTTCATTTAGAATTAATATAATTTTGTATAGTGTATTGTCTTTAGATAAAAATTTAATCAAACATATATAATGAACGATGCTTTAATTTTGAAATTTTCTAAACAGTTTCAAGTGCAGGGAAACTAATTTTGGAAATAATAAATTTTTAAAATAATAGTATTTATTTTAATAAAAATACGCACGCATCTGTATCTTTTATCTCCGAATTTTTTCGTATTTAAATGCAGATAAAGAGGTAACGTTTTACAGTCCTGTATTAAGGTGTGCGCACGAAGCAGAATTTTTTTCAACAAATAAATGCCAAATATAAATAGTGAAGATAATTTAGATTTCGATCTAGACTTCAATATTCCGCGCGAAATTGTTGCAAGACGATTGCGAAAGTTTTCTTTCCCTCTCGTCCGCGCATCGCACGAGATGTGATGTGAATGGCCCTCGACGGAAGTCGTAATCAGCGATCCACCGTCGCGTTGGACGATGTTATACGTCAATGTGCTCGCGCGCGCGCGCACGTCACGTACTATTTACGATAACGGGGAAGACTGAAGAAAAGTTGCATTTATCCGAGATTTCCGCCGAATATTCGTGAATTGCGAACGTGTATGGAAGATATACACGTATCCCGTTAATTTATGATAACGATATCGGATTAAACTTTTCGGCGCTCGTAAAATCCTCGATTAACGCGAAACAATATAACGGGTTTTAAAACGCGCCGAAACGGCTCCGAGAGAACCACCGGCCGTCTCTTTGTTACATAGTTTTGTTCGCATTCCTAAAGCAGGCGATCATCCGGAAATGTGCTCGCGCGTGCAAGGATCTCGCATGTATACGGAACACTCGTATTTTAAAGGATCTCGCATGTGCCGGGACTCTTGGTGAGCGTGCCGAGGTTCTCTCTTCTCGTTTGCGAAGGACTTGGCGTGCGCGAGGATTCAGCATTTGTAAAGACCCCGCTCGCATGCGGGAGCCTTCGCGTGTGTAAGCAGCTTTTACGTATACAAACGGCTTTGGCCTGGCGATAAGAGCGCGCGCACGCGCGCGAATACGCTTCCCGCTCGTTCGAAACACGGCTCCAGGATCGCCGACGAGTACACGACACATACGACGTATCATACATCATATTATAACGCGCGATATTTCTTCCACGAGATAGAAGCGAGACGCGCGCGCGAGACTCGTTTCTTATCAAAGGCTCCTTTAATTATCATCGATTTCCCTGTCCTTGCTTCGTCCTGTCTCTCGTGCGAAACACGAGTTCGTCGGGCTCTTCGGTTAATGAAAACCCTCGCGGAAAATGGCAGAGAAAATCTCGCACGATAAGTTCTCACTCGAGACCTTTACTCCGAGAGACGAACAGAGAGGAGAGAGAGAGAGAAAGAAAGAGGTCGAAAAATTGCTGGTTCGAGGAAAAAGCCGCTTTGGGACGTTGCATTGTGTCCGGAATATGAAGATGGAGTTAGGACGGATGACCGAGTCATTTCATTGTCCCGCGAGTGGCGTATCTCAAGGACAAAAGGTCGGTTTTCTTTCGCGGACTTTTCAATTCCTCGGTGAACCACATCCTCTCGTTCTCGTCCCCCCTCACCTCCGGGCAAACTTACTTCGCGGGATATCTCGAAGCGGGGCACGTTACTGCCATCTTCATCTTGGAAGGTTATACCGGTCCCGTCTGCTCGAGTAATTCAGAAGTCGGGGGAACGCCTGCCTTTTTCGCGTGATGGGAATTATATTTCCCCCGTAATTACGCGACGACAACTCGTTCTCTCGCAGACTTGCGAGAGAAGTTAGGTCGAACGAACTTGGGCCGCGGAATTAATTCGCGTCGTTGGTAATCCCACCGTCGTCGCCCGCTGCCGCCTCTCCAAGATCGAGCTTAGTTTAGTCCCAGTTTCTGATTTCTAACGTAATCAAGTCGATATTGCGCCCGCGGTCGTCTTAACCACGCGCCGTACTTGGTACTTCCATTATTCCTCACCGTGTTACGAATGGATCCAGAGTTTCGCCCAGACAACGTTTTGCGTTCAAGGTCTACCGTATTTAGCGAGTGTTTCAGATCTCGCTGCGTGTTGGATCGAAAATCATGGATTCTCGCGCGAATAATATTTTGATACAGTTTAGTGTGCCTTGGAACAAAGAGTTCTGCCTTTCTCTCTCCCTCTCTCCTCTCTTATTTCAGAAGTTGACTTCATTAATCATACGTATGCTATGCACATGCTTTAGCAATTACGTCACAAGCTATTTACATCCGTTAAACTAAGCAAAGAGTGAGTAAGGGGTAATGAACGCGCTTGTTCTTGAGAGAAGAATGCGATCAGTTGCGTCATGTTGAATTCTGATACTAAAGTCTGACATGCTTTTCTTCCATTGTCATCGACAAAATCTTTTTTATTATTACGATTGTTTCCTATTTGATTTCTGAGAAATGTGATAATATAATTTGTAAATAAAAGTCGAGTTTTCATAAGTCGACTATTCAATAATCTTGAGGCGTATTTATGTAAAATATAATTATTCTTACAATTTTTTACCCAAGAATAATTATATCCAGATGCATCAAAATCTCAACAGATTCTTAAAGATCTGTTATCGCATATTTATATTGTTATATTAATATTTATATTATTTTTTGAGTTACAGATTTACTCAGACGATTTTGTTTCTGTTTAATTAAGAAATTAATTGCCCTAATATCACATCTCTCGGGAGAGAAAGCTTTTATTGAAGCCTTGCTTAACGCTGGAAGGCGCTTGTCTACGATATTTAGCGAGATGAACTTTCACGGGAATTCGGGGGAGGAGGAGGGGCGCGGATCGTGGCCGAGCGCAGGGGTTCCCCGGGGAATTCGAAATTCCCGGAGATCAAGGGAGATCTTATCCCTCCGGGTTATTTCGTATTCAGTGATATAGGTGGTCGCCGCAAAACTTTCCACTCGGCATTCCTGGCATAACCGCGCTATTCGACTCAGCTCGGAGCAGTAGAAGGGTTTACCTATCGTAGTACCTACATATGAGAGCATTCGCGATACTTGATTGTGCGACGTCATGCTGACGTTTTCCAGATTTCGAGCTTGCACACATTGCGCTTGTTGGGGCATGCAAATATCTTGTCATCAGCGTTCTCTGGAAAAGCAGATCGCGGATTAGGGCCATAATCATATATCGTTTTACGTTTATTTATTTGCTTAAAATTTGAAAAAAAGATTCGAGTCAAAATATAATAGGATCGTATGATTATGATCAATTTGTTATGATCTTTGTACTCCTGATTCTAATTTTTATTACATGGATTATTGCGTTTTTTTTTTTTGCTAAATTTTGGGATATAAAAATTTGATTTATAATGATCTCAATTCAATAAGCAATTGCTATGTC